CGTCCCCTCTTTTGGGCATTTACTGTCACTCCTTTGGTTTATTTCCACCTAGTTGTAAGGGCTCCAAGGCCGGAGGCCAGCTGCTCGTTTTCTGAATATCGTTGAACATCCTGGATGTTCAGCACTGTTTTGTTCCTTGGAGGGTGTTGGGGGCCGATTTGGTGGCAAGATCTCAGACACAGCTCTGCAGGGGTCGAGGCGGCGAAGCGTTCATGCCTGTCCCGGGAATAGGCCTCCGGTTGGGGCACCTCTAGGCACCTCGAAACCTTCAGTTGTAATAAACAAGTACAGAGCAAAGCGGCATTCCAACGTGAGGCCACATTCCCCTCCCGCCCCCACCGGCTCTCCCATCTGCTGGCTGGCCAGCCCGAGGGGCCGCAAAAGGGACCTTTGTTTCCCCAGAAAAACAGAACAAGACAAAATAAAACAAAACAAATCCCGACGGGCTCACACACACACGTAAATGCAACTGCCTCGGGAACCAGGACTGAGACTGGACGCTCTGTCGCCTGGCCTTTGTGGGATGTGAATAAAGGTGTCCCATGGTTGGCTTGCTCTTGAGAGCGTGGACTCTGGATGTGACAGGGACTCCTCCAGTCGATCCTGAGTTTTGGTGCACACTTTAGTCACTTTTCTGTGTATGTGGAATTGACCGATGGCGCTGAGTAGGCCACTGGGGAGTTTTTTAAAGGACAGAAAACATCCTAAAATGGAGGAGAGACCTCTAAGTGGGACCAAAATATGGCCCCGGGGTGGCAGGCCAGGAGCGGGTCCCACCCGCCTACCTGCTCTGGGCACCTGCGTTCCCACTGCACAAGCCATCCGCCCGGCTTCCTTCATTATATCGCCACAGCCACCATCGCTGTGCGCCCCGCGCTGTGTCTGCGAGAACATAAACAAACGTCGCAGGCCGGCGTCCAGCAGACCTCCCTGTCGGACAGCGCGTCCCCTAAAACACTGCAACTGATCGCACCTCGACTCTCCTCCCATTTTGCCTCCAAATGTCAACACAGATGTATTTCCCTTTTTCCCGTTCAGTTTAAAGGTTATTCCTAAAAAGTGGGATTCTATGGAAGTAATTATTCTGTGTGGTAGAAGCAGTATTTCCACAGTTTCTGCTATGTCAGATCCAAGAATCAGGTAGTCAGTTTTAATATAAGACTTACATAAAGATCTGCTGTGCAAAAGAGTTAGTTGCTGTGGCTTTTTGACTTCTTCATATGTTGTTGAATTGAGACGTGTTCCTTAAAATAACCTGATCTCTGGAACAGTGCTCTAACAGAATAGAGAAAGGAAACTTGCTGAATGCACGTGCTGTGCCTAGGTAAGTATTTCATACCTCGTTTGATCTCCCCAAACCCCAGTTACTGTCTTCATTTAATGCAGAGTAGGCTTGGAGAGGAGGATTTGTCCAATCTCATGTTATCTGGTAAGTGTTTGAGTTTTTAATCCTGAAGTGATTGACTAACAGTAATGGCATTCAACTGCAATTTATCCTTATTTGGGCACTGGGAGGGGGCTTCTTTTCTTTAAGAGACAAAAATAGAATGGCAGGCATGTAAACAATTCTCATGCTTATATAAGATACGATAAAAGGACATCCCTGCTTTATTCTAGTATCTTGGTATAATTACATAAATTACCTTTTAGGGATGAAAAAGTTGACCAATTCTATATGTTCTCAGAAGAAAAAAGCATTGTCAGATGTCAAATGACCAAGAAAACCTCTGGCCTGCTCAGGCAAGATTGCCCAGTGGTCTCCTGACACATCCCTGCTCAGTTCTTCCCACTGTTTGTGTACAGACAATACTCTTTTTAAGAATACCAAACTTTTGAATTTGATCATCACCCAAAGGAAAGTGAAACAGTCTGGTGTCTGACTGCTTCAGCAGCAATCTAGGACCAATAAGTAATGACATCCAGCCTGATGATCGTGACTGCCAGGTGTGGAGACCATGAGTCACAGGTATATATGTGAGGTATTTATTTTATGAATTTCAATTCCAACTTTGCGATCTTTCCATCTTGTATTAACTTATTATATATTGTCAGATAATATTGTTCCATTTCACTTTCATCCAGATCAAGATGACCAGCTGACAACTCGAGGTAATTTCCAATTTGTCTCAGCGCATTGGGTCCCATATATCTGGCTCTTGTAGGTTCTGCACAAATGTCATATGTTCCTTAATAGTACCAGTAAGATAGTCGTATTAATATTCATAACCTTGCAGGCTGTCCTTCAGAGGGGGTATGGATGGGAACATAGTTAATGTGTGATATGTACAGTTTCTCAGGCCAGTGTTAGAATTATATGGTATTTACTTGCGCTAACTATGGTGTACTCTGATTCCCACTAGCATCATTATATACTGGTGTGCAATTTATTTTTCGCATGCATTTGTGGAAAGCTTTCAGAATAAGCACTCGTCATTCTTTTTAATTATTTTTGGTTTCATTGTATAACTTTGTTAAATCTCCCATTAATGGATGTTTGGATTGCTCTCATGTTTTTCATTATTGCAAACAGTATTTTAATGTACATATGTCTTTGTATAAAATATGTTATTCCTAACTTCTGTAGGAGGAATTAATAGAAATGAATTTGTTCAGACAGTATACCTTTAAAATGTATAAGGTAAAGGCAAACTGATTTGTAAGATGCATGTTAATGAACATTTTGACCAATAACGTAGATACTGGTTTCGCTACACCCTCGCCAATATTGTAGAGGGTCTCATGAATCCTCATCTTTGCCAAGCTAATAGAGAATTACTAAATTGTCTTAATTATTGGGGGGTTGATTATCATATACTGTCTTTATTGGTAATTTATTTTTTTCTGTGAATTACCAATTCATGTCTTTCATCTGTTGTTCTAATGGGCATTGATTGTTTTATATATTGATCAATTAGGACTTTTCATATATTAGGTATGTTTAACCCCGTGTCTGGATGCAGTTGGTTTTCCCAGTCTTTGGAGTTGGTATATGGTAAGTTTTTTTTTTTTTTTTTT